TGATCCATTATCGAATTTTCATCAGAATCATCATATTGGTTAAGGTTGAAATTTCACTGTCAGTTTTGTGAAAGCAGCTCCAAATGTTTGCCACAATGATGTTGAATGTACTTTCCTTTATGGCTGACCATAAGATGAAAATCACCAGCTTGCACAGCTGGCAGTAATGACCGTGAAAACACAATGATTTATAATAGAGCGCAAGACCATTTGACGGGCACCCCAAAGTGAACTCTCTCATGTGTCCTGCTCCTCAACTTCTCCTCAGAGCTCACTGCTGTCTCTATAAGAGGTAAGAAATATTCCAAACATTCCCAACATCATTTTAAAAAGTTGATGTTTGAGTGATAGACATTTATTCTATGCTTCTTGTACAATGTCTGGTTAAAAGTGCGCTCAATTTCTTTCTTTTTTTTTTTCAGAGCACCAAAAGAAAAAGGAGATCAGAATTTGATGGTCATAATGACATTTGACAACACAAATATATTGTTTTCTCAATTAAATTTTTATGTAGTCTCACAAATGATGATTTTAGGAGAGTAACATTAACAAATTCAGCATCCATTTTAACTAAAAGCTCAAATAACTCTGATTTGCTTTTTTCTTGAACACTCCACAACTCCTTCAGCTTCTTTCTCTCTCTCTTTCCTCATTTGTGTTTAATAACACATTATTTTTCCTAAACTTAGACTTACCAGAACTCAAAGATCAATGTGACATAATTCAATTCAATGTTTTTGTTTTGAACTGGCAATAATCTCACTTGACTTGCTTTCTTGCCAAGTCTTAATTTCCATCTACAGGCTGAGGAATTGAGGGATATAAAACTGTGTTATGACCAACATATGACCTTGCAACCCTTCCACTGATATTAATTTATACAAAAAACAATATATGGCTAAAACTGGTGGGACCATTTTTAAATACTGTGTTGTTGGTGTGGAATAAGTTTCTCAACTCAACTAATGCTTTCTTTCTCACCCTCTGACACACAGGTTTCCAGTCGGATCTCATCATGTCTGTCTGACATCTCTTCATGGATGGCAGCTCATCACCTGAAGCTCAATCCTACCAAGACTGAGCTGCTATTCATCCCTGCAACTACAGGTCCTCATCATGATCTTGCCCTCTCATTCAAGAACTCTCTGATTGTTCTGTCTGAAGAGGCAAGAAGTCTTGGTGTGATTCTGGATGGCCAGTTCTCGTTCTCGACTCACATTGCGAACCTAACTCGGTCATGCAGATTTCTCCTGTTCAACATCCGGAGGATCCGACCCTTTCTCTCTCAAGAGGCCACCCAGGTGCTAGTTCAGTCTCTTGTCATCTCAAGGCTTGACTACTGCAACTCGCTCTTGGCTGGTCTTCCTATGCGGCCATCAGGCCTCTGCAACTCATCCAGAACGCAGCAGCACGACTCATCTTCAATCTCCCAAAGTTCAGCCACGTCACCCCACTGCTGCGCTCCCTTCACTGGCTTCCTGTAGCTGCACGCATCAGATTTAAAACCCTTATGCTTGCCTACAAAGCCAAAAATGGACCAGCCCCTCCCTACTTGATGGCAATGGTCAAATCTCGAACCGTACAACGAGCCCTTCGAGCTTCGAGTACAGCTCGGCTTGACCCGCCATCCTTTAAGGCGCAGAAGGCAAGCATCAAGACTGTTTTCTGTGCTGGCACCCAGGTGGTGGAACGAACTCCCACTGGCTGTCCATACAGCAGAGTCTCTCGCTGTCTTCAAAAGCAGACTGAAGACACATCTGTTTATACAGCACTTAAATGAGCCCTGAGTTAAGTATTGATTGTAATGTATTGTAAAGCACTTATGTATTGTATTGTATTGCACTGCTCTGTGTTTAACTCTGTTCCTTTTTCTCTAGGTGTCAATGACTTTCTAATTCTAGCAGTATCTGAGCTCAGGACTGGTTTTCTCTCTAACCTATTGGTAACTAGCAAAGATACTTTCTCTGGATAGACAAAGCACTTTTTGTAAGTCGCTCTGGATAAGAGCGTCTGCTAAATGATGTAAATGTAAATGTTTCAAGGAACATTGCACTCTAGCGCCTTACAAGGCCATGGCTGTCAGGCCCAAAGTTTCATTACACGCTTATATAACCTAAGAATAGCTCAGCCAGTCTGCACTTCAGCGCTGCTGAAACAGCCAAGATAGCACTCACTTCTAGCCATATGCTGTCTGCTCATAGTAGACAGTAAACCCACACAAACTAACCCATAGTCCAGCACAGAGTGATGCAAATAACGCTTATACACATCATAAACTAAGAGTAACAGCTTAATCGCCAGATTTAAAGTCTCTCCTATCACTCCCAAGAGGCTCCACGCATAGCCACTCTGCATAGCCATGCCTCACACACGAGCAGTAGTGGGATGCTACAATACCATTATAACTAGCAAAAACTGAGTATTTAACAGTCATTCATTGAGCTGATAGATGGCTGCTTTTGAAATAACAGAGAGAGAAAGAGAAATAATCTTACTTCAGTCCTTCTTGCACAACAACAGACTCAAATGCATCCAAATATCTTGCCTTTATTTTTCAGGTAAGCCAAGGAGAAACATCTCATGACGTGAGCCAGTAGTTTGGTGTTTTACTGATAGTTGTGAGTATTTTTGCAGAACTGAAAAGGTCTTTATAAAGCATTTTCTTGTAATATTATTCTTTAACAATATTGCAAGAAAATGCTTTATAAAGACCTTTTCATTAATACTGTGATCTTTCCACTGATATTAATTTACTGTAAACAACAATATATGGCTAAAACTGGTGGGACTGTTACTAAATACTGTGGTGTCAGCATAAAATAAGAAGTGGGAAACATTGCACTGTAACTCCTTATAAGGCCAGGGCCTGAATCTGAATGACGGAAAGTTGTTTGTTTTAGGCCTGTGGATGTTTGTTATCTGGGAAGCGATATAAAAAGTAATTTAAACAGCTGTCAGCCTTATTTCTACCTTGGTAAATAACATTTCAAACTGGCCTCATGACCCTTCTGCAGGACAGCATCCCTGTGGTTTAAATGTATTAGCTTTGGTCTTCTTGGGTCAGTTATTAACAACAAAGGATCGGCACTCAGCAGAACAATGAAGAAGTCTTTTAAAAGATCTTCACATGTAATGATTTCTCTCTAAAAAAGAAGAATAGAAATGTTTTTTTCTGAAATTTAATGGAACTATTTTCTGGATTTACAAGCTGGACAATAAAAAAATGCAAAGCCCAAATTAAATATTAATGCCTTTGAATGAACACTTGAGAGTACCAAAGAAATCCAATGGGTCTTTGACCAAATCAAGTCTCACCTATTACTTAAGGCTATATGACTAAATTGAAGCTGTATTATGTTGGACATATAAGAAGAACGAATGCATTGGAAAAGATAATTATGCTTGGAACAGTTGAAGGTAGAAAAGGAGGATGACAGCCAGCCCAGAATGAATAGACTCAATCAGAGGAATCATAAACAAGTTAGCTGTAGCATGGTTAAATAATCCAAATGAAATGCTATATAGAACAAAAACGTCCTTAAAAAATATTTATACAAAGAACAACAAATACAAGTATGATAACTGCAAGTACTACCGACATGAGATATTCATGGAAAAAGCCCTAAATACTGAGTTAGACACTAAGAACTATTTAACTCATACCAAGCATACATTTATTTAACACTTACTATAACACAGACTGACTAAGGCTGAGGAAAACAAAATCCATCCAAGACCCTCACGGACATGATCACAGCTTATACAGAGCACAAAGGGAACAAGCTCTCCCTGTAACATTTTATAACAACAGTAATCTTAACAAATCTTAAGACATTAATCTTAAAGGGAAACTCCACCAATTTTTCAAAAATAAGTAAGGTGTTATGATGTAAACAGAGTCATTCAGAGTGGTTTGGTGTTAACCGCTCTGTTCTAGAGAAACCTGCCGGGTTAGAACTGTTCACAGTGATGGTGATGGGAACCAGATGTCCACCTCTAAAAGCTCCCTCACAGAAAGCTGTTACATGAAATTGATATCAATGTGCTGCCAGATGACTGAGACGTTGTTCTATGATAGTTTTGTGATAAAGTTTTGACTTTGTCAAATATGTTTTTAATCCATTTATGGCAGAAGGAGACATGCAGGCTGTTGTGATGCAAAATATTTCCCAAAGAATTCTTATGTTTTCAGATTGACCACTATTTTACCATCATCATCACTACATATAGAAGCCCAGAAGACACATGTAGGTTCACCACCACTGTAAAAAAAAAGAAAAAAGTTTCTCTACAGTGAACCATTTCACACCAAACCACTCAAAATGACTCAAAATGATATAATGTTTATATCTCAACCATTGAATTACTCTGAAATTTTGGAATTGAAAAATTGGTGGAATTCCCCTTTTAGACACAACGGCATAATAACAGCAATAAATTGTCAGCATACCAAGGTTGGACATTATCACTTTTTGTGCACAGCGAGGTTTGGTAATGAGTTATTAAAGTTTTATTGTAACTCAGTGTTAGTTTCCCCTGTATTCAGATCAATGCTGAATAAACGCCTCATAGTTGTGGTCACTGCTTGTAGCCCCCCAACACACGAAGTGAAAGTCACTATTCTGCCCACCCGCGTATAATCCTGTATTATTGTCGGGCTCACTGCAGGGGGGCTTATTTGAAGGAACGAACCTATAGGAGCTGGTATAGGCAAGACTTTCTACTGACAGACACGCAATGGGAGCCATGTGACCCAGTCAGACACCACTTTGCTCAATTTCCAAGTTTCTTCTTACCAAACGTTCTTGTGGAACTGATACTAACAGACCTCTTATTGGTGCAAGCAGAGTATCACAGACATTTCCACGGTTTTGTAACTCAATTTAACACAAAATATCAATGTCTGACTTCACTTGTTAACCTAAAGACATCACAAAGTTCATTTCACCTCAAATTCACTGACTGAACTCCAAAAGAAAAGTACGAAGAGTGTTTCCTACCTTCATTAAGCGACGTTCATCTCTTGAACCCAAGGAACAAATGTAGAGAACAGGAAGAGCTTTTGCAGTTAAACTGTCAAACTGTGTGAGGTTAAGCTGCATTGCTGCCTCTTTCACACATTCTTCCTTTTTCACAGACGTGGTCTTTCCTTCCTGCCTTCAAGTACACTTACAGCATTTTCTATTAGTTCAGCTAAAATTGTATTTGTACTCTGTGTTCACTGTCTTAAGAACATTAAAAAGGCAGATGTGAAATTTTAAAGGTTCCCTCATTTTAGCACTTACATTGTTTCCTGTAGTGTAGGCCGTATTTTAGCAGCTACATTTGCATTGGATGTAGTCTGACAACGCTTCAGGACATCTACAACAGCAGAGTGATGACGTACGCCAGCAAAATAACAGCTGACCCCTCTCAACCTGGACATCATCTCTTCCAGCCACTTCCCTCTGCTGGAAGATTCAGGACCATCAAAACCAGCACAGCTAGACACACCATCAAACCTCCCTTACAGTGTTACTCCTTTGTAACATAATGCTATTTGCACAGCTGTACAGATGTTAAATTCCTGCAGATAATCAAATCATTCTGTAATATTCTGTATACTCAGACTTACAAATGTATAGGTATTCTTATCTGTGTATGTACAGTCATTCACACATCTCTTTAGCTATTTTATGGCTCTTTATTCTTTATTAGTCTTTATTTATTGGATTTTGATTTTATTTGGAAAAAATTGGAAAATTCCTTGTGTGTATGTCTAACATACAGTGATGTGAAAAAGTATTTACCTCCACCCAATTTCTTCTATTTTTGCTATTTTTTCACATTTAAATTCTTCAGATCATCCAACTACTTTTAACATTAGATGAAGACAAAACAAAATGCAGCTTTTAAATGATCATTCTATTTACTGAAGATAAAGGTCTATTCAAAAAAAGTCTCCAGCACCCCCCATGGCCCAGATGGATAAGCGGTTTAGAAAATGTGTGTGTGTGTGTGTGTCCCATGTGATGAATTATCACACTCAACATTCCATCCTCTGAAATTACCTTCTCTAAGCAGTGTTTCTTCTAGCATCTCACTTACCTGCCTTATTACCCCACTTATCTGACTTACCCCTTACCTTGCCACTATACACCCTTTGTATATGCTGCTGCACTCAACACTTTAACTTAAGTATGACTCTGTGTGTGTGTGTGTGTGTGTGTGTGTGTGTGTCTGTCTGTGTGTGTGTGTGTAGAAGGGAGTGATGGCCCAAGTGTATGGTAGGAATGCATGTTTTATTTTATTTTATTTTATTTACTACATGTAAAATGTTTGTCTGTGCACTGTGAGCTCTTGTAACCAAAACCGAATTTGTTGTATGTGTAAGCATTCCTGGCCAATGAAGCTTGATTCTTGATTCTGATTCTGAAAGAAAGTCTCTCTCCCATCATACTACGTTGGGTGGATCTGTCAAGTCTGAGTGGTTTCCATAGTGACAATTATTCAGTGTTTTTCACAGTCTGGAAAAAACACAGGAACTAACACAGACACACCCTGGTTAAGAGCTTGAGGCTGAAACACTGCAATAATAATAATAATAATAATAATAATCACATTTGTGGAGATGCTTACAGTAGCTGAAAGCAACATAAACACAGAATAAGAAATAACAGAGAACGTCAGTTGATTAACAAAGAAAAAAGAGCTCACAGGAAAAAGAGAAGAAAAAGCAGATGAAGACTCAGATGACAAGAGCAGGATCATGGAGGAAAACCAAATATAAGTATGACAAACAGAAGAACATCCCAGTACAAACTCCACAAATGATGAAGGTGTGAAGGAGCCTCCAAAGTGGGTATATATATATATATATATAAACAAACAAATAAATGGATAAATTATTCCTATATTTATAGTCATTGAAACTGTTCAAAGCAATGAAATATTCTGTGAAAACGGCTGTGATTACACTAGATGTGAGTAAACGTGTTGGTTGGAGGGTTACTGGCAAATTGACAATATTCAAAAATATTTTTGACACTTTTAATATGACTTGCTAAATATCTCTTGCTTCCATGCCATACTTTCATCCATGAAGAGTTTTTGTGTGGAGGTGCTGAGACTGAATCACAGACCAAACTGCAGAGCTCAGAATCAGCACCTTAGACAGCTCTCTTACTCCACACCTGTGCTTCTCTACAGACACATCTTAGATCAGTACTGCCATCTACAGGTGGAGATCTGTAATGACTCCAGCTGCTGGAGCTCCTCTACACTGCAGAGTGTAGTGTTTACTCTGTAATAACCCACTAAATCAACTCAACAGGTAGGAAACAACCTTCAGGAGTTTAATCAGATGAGTTACAGCAGCACAAACACTAAACTGTGCAGTTCAGCTTCACTCCAATAGCTTTACCAGCTCACCTGATGGTCACCTTCCTCCATTGTTCTCTTCTTCTTCTTGTTTCTGCTCTCAGAAAGAAGTTAATGTTGCAAAATGGTGCAAAACTCAGAGACCCCCTTCATTTTCTAGTTAAAACAGCCATTAAATACAATTTATTCATTTTTCAGAAAGTACTGAGGAGATTAAATTAAATCCACTTGTATAATGAAGGGAAGGTCAAATAAAATATGAGAATCCAAAACTGGACTATAAAAATTTGTACAATTATTATGATTCAAACTACCGAGGACATGGGACTCCTAACAACCACCTGGTAGGTCTACCCCTATTAGATAAACACCACTTCAAGCTTTCATCTTTGAGCAAGGGAATAAAAATCAAGCTCCGCTCTTGTTTCAGATCTGAAAAAATCCACAGGAGTTTCTGTCCATCCTTCCACTGTGAGAAGACCACTGAAAACTATGAGTCTGAAAGGATGTGAAGCTGTCGAGAAGCTCTCACTGAGAAAAACAAATAGACAAATTAAAGCTGCTGGTGTTCTCAGAACAATGGATTCACCACAAAAGGTTCCATCTTCTTTAAGCCAGGTGTACATCTGCACGGGTGGGTTTGCATCACTGCTGCAGGTCAGAGTCACTGAACTGCCCTCCAGTGTTTCACCAGAGAAAGTGATGGACACGGAGACGCTTTTTAGAGGATCTAAAAATGAGAATATCACTCTAATCAAGGCATTAGATATTTAGAAATGGGAACTGGTACGAAATATAGAAGTAGAAATATAGAATAAATAACTGGAACAAGTAAACAGAATTTACTCACACAAAACATTCAGAGTTAGAGCTTCAGAGTGTTTCTCTATGCGTCCATTACCGGATCTGCACTTGTACTGTCCACAGAGCTGATATTGTTCATTATGTAAGTCTGTCCTTTTGCTACTAATGATGTTCCTTTAAATGGATGAGTAGTAGCTCTACTTTGAGCTCCTCCCAGATGACCGAGCTCCTCACCCTATCAAGTAGGGTGTAGCCCACCACCCTGCAGAGAAAGCTCAATTCCGCCGCTTGTATCCACAGTCTCTTTCTTTCTGCCATTACCCATATCTCATAGGTGAGGGTTGGGATGTAGCCTGAACCGTAAACAGGAAGCTTTGCCTTATGATTCAGCTCCCTCTTCAGAACTATAGCCTGGTACAGCGACCACATTACTGCTGCCTCCTGTCCCAGGCTGCAGCCAACTTAACACATGTCCCTGACCTTGGCTATGACTTAATACCCTGTCTATGAATATCACAAACAGGAGTGGAGATAAGGCACAACCTTCGCAACAACACTTACAGTGAACAAGCTTAGTGCCGAATATACAGACACAGCTCTCACTCCAGAAGTACAGAGACCGAATGGCCTGGAGTAGGGGCCTTGCCACCAATACTACCGGAGGACGTCCCACAGGATATCTCGGGGAACACAATCGTAAGCCTTCTTCAAGTCCACAAAACATATGTAGACTGGTTTGGCAAACTCCCATGCCCCCTTAAACAATCTCCATGAGGGTGAAAAGCTGGTTCATTGTTCCACAGGACGGAATCTGCATTGTTCCTCCTTAATCCGAGGTTTGACTATTGGTCAGAGTCTCCTTTCCAGCACCTTGGCATAAACTTTTCCAGGAAGGCTAAGCAGTGTGATACCCCAGTAAGTGGCATACACGCTCCTGTCCCCTTTTTTAAAAATAAGGACAACCACCCCGGTATGCCAGTCCAAGGGTACCATTCCTGAGATCCGGGTAATCTCATCCACCCATGGTGCCTTGCCAGTGAAGGGCTTGCCAACTACCTCACTGACGTCCACCAGGAAAAAATGGAGTCTGACGCAGCAGAAGCCTCTGACCCCACCTCCTGTGAGGGAGGCATGTCTCTCGGGTCTAGGAGTTCCTCAAAGTGCTCCTTCCACCAACTGACAATATCCTCATTTGAAGTCAAGGTTTCTCCACCCCTGCTGAGTACAGTCTCCTGCTCACTCATTTTTCAGTTATTTATTAACAATATTGCGGTGCATTGAAGAGTACTTGGACTGTATAGATTACAGATTAGATGTAGTTCTGCAGTTCATAGAATGATGGGTAGTGTAGTCTCACCTCTGGTTGCTGAACTAAAGAAAATGATATAAACAGTGCACTTTGTCTGTGTATGAGTTCCTGTAATAAGTCAGTAGCTTACTAGAGAAACAACACATTTGCCATTTCCATTAGAAATCTATGAACTACTTCAGAAGAGACTGTACAATACAAACTTACATTATGCTCTGCTGTAAATGTGCTGAGTGTTGTGCATGTGTTTTGTTTTCTTTTCTCTATCTCTCTCTCTTTCTCCAGCGCCAGCACACATTTCACTCCACTCAGAGTTTGCTCCATGTCCCAGTCCAGGTGCCACTGTCCTCAACTTCAGCATCTTGTGTATTCCGTTTTCTACATCATGACTCGTGTGCTCTATGTCACATCCTGGGAATGTACAGCACCAGTGTGCATGTCAGCTTCCCCCAAATACTCACTAGCTTATGAATTGTGTGTTTGAATGTGTTACTGTTATTGCTGTTCTGTGTTTCAATCTCTGCTTGTACTCTGCCTCTGCCCTTGTACTGTTTAA